GTCAGGACTGTGACTGTGTGCAGGAGAGGCACCCGAGACAGCTGACTCTCCGCAGCTGAAGCCTGTGCTGTAGACCCCGAGTGTTTTCTCCCAGAGGGATCAAGCAGATTGCAGGATCCTCCTGTCCTGTTTGTGTGTGTTTGACAGGCTTGTGCCTGGGGGTGTCCCGTGCCCTGTGTGTTTCTGTGATGTGCTAAAGTCTCGCCTACAGGTACTGTACACAAGGGAAAGTGTAACTGCAGTCGAGTGGCTCCACAGCCGAAACGTTGTGTACAGTATCTTCTCTTCTCTATTCAGCTGGAATTAACCTTTACGTGTTCCTATACATGTTGAGTGCTGGAGGAAACCCTGACTCTGTGCTCTACTCCCCTCCAGCTGCTTGACTAGAGATCTCCGTCTCCTAACCTGAGCGAAAACACAGTTTTCTTCGACAGTGATTATTCGGGGGCTGACTGCTCCAGGCCAGTATAATTCAAGCGTCATGCTAATTATTTGCTTATGATCCGAACGTTAGTCGAGGGTTTTATGTAAACAGCTGTGTGAGAGGAAGTCAGATTGTCATCTTGCACTTCTCCTCTCTTATGAGGAAATAATCTCCTGACGCCCACGTCTCTGGGCACCTTTTCTCACACCCCTCTCCCCACCCCACCTGCACCCCTGCTGCAGCTCCCTGACTCATTCCTCAGCTCCTTGACCAGCTCAATTCCTCGGCCAGGCAAGCTACCTGCCCCTTCTTGTTCACCGACTGGTGTCGCCGCTGCTGGAATTTGCTGGAATGTGTCTGAGACTCTGAAACACTAATTCTCCCGATGTCAGAGCGACCACGAAGGGCTTAACCTGCACTCCCTGGACTCTCTGCAGCTCCCAGTGGTTCCCACCCCACCTGCACCCTCGCTGCAGCTCCCTGACTCATTCCTCAGCTCCTTGACCAGCTCAATTCCTCGGCCAGGCAAGCTACTGCCAGACCATGAAGAGCCCCGGCCCTGCTTGTTCACCGACTGGTGTCGCCGCTGCTGGAATTTGCTGGAATGTGTCTGAGACACTGAAACAGTGATTCTCCCGATGTCAGAGCGACCACGAAGGGCTTAACCTGCACTCCCTGGACTCTCTGCTGCCCCCGGTGGTCAGCGCGGCGCCGCGGTCCTGGCGGAGCACGTTCACGCACAGCAGGCCGCCCCCGCCGGCGTCCTGCTCGGCGC